ATTCCCTCTGCTTCTAACCACTGAAAAAGATTATAAGGAATTGGGGAACCTGGGTGATTCAGTCAGTTAAGCGTCCAACTCTTGAATTTGGCTGAGGTCATGATCTCAGGGTCATGAGACAGGGTCCTATGTCGGGCTCCACATTGGGCATGGAGCCTGCTAAGATTCTCTCTCTGCCCCTCCCCTCCTGCTCATGTTTTCTCTCTCTCTCAAATAAATAAATAAATAAATAAATAAATAAATAAATAAATTTTTAAAAGATTATAAAGAATTGGTATAATTTCTTCCTTAAATGTTTGGTAGAATTCACCAGTGGAGCCATCTGGGCCTGGTGCTTTCTATTTTGGAAGGTTATTAATTATCAACTCAATTTCTTTAATAGACATAGGCCTATTCAGACTGTCTCTTTCTTCTTGTTTGAGTTTTAGCAGATTGTGTCTTTCAAGGAATTGGTCCACTTCATCTAGTATATTAAATTTGTGAGCGTAGAGTTGTTCATAGTATTCCTTTATTTTCCTTTTAATGTCCAAAGTATCTATAGAAGTATCCCCTTTTTCTGATATTAGTAATGTGTGTCCTTGTTCTTTTCTTCTTAGGCAGTTTTTTTTTTCTCCCACCACTTTAAATATTTCACTCCCTTCTTCTTGCTTGTATGGTTTCTAATAGATTGCATATAATTCTTATCTTTCTTCCTTTATAGGCAAGGTGTTTTTCCATCTGGTTTCTTTCAGGATTTTTTTTTTTATCTTTGATTTTCTGTAGTTTGAAGATGATAATGTCTACACCAAAATGTGTAGTTTTAAGAATTTATTCTGCTTGGTGTTCTCTGAGATTCTTGAATCTGTGGTTCAGTGTCCAAGAATAATTTGGGGAAATTCTCCCTCATTATCGTTTTAGATATTTGTTCTGTTATTTTCTCTTTCTTCTCCTTCTGGTATTTCCATTATCCTTATATTATTCTTTTTGTAGTTGTCCCATAGCCCCTGGATATATTGTTCAGGTTTTGTGTTTTTTTTTTTCAGTGTTTGTTCTCTTAGCTTTTTGGTTTTCATGGATTCTACTGATTTATCCTCTAGCTCAGACAGTCTTTCCTCAGTCATGTCCAATTTACTAATAAGCGCATCAAAGGCATTCCTCATTTCTATTACAGTGTTATCTCTAACATTCTTTTTGGTTCTTTCTTAGGATTTCCATCTCTCTGCTTACATCACCCACTTGTTTTCGCATGCTGTCTACTTTATCCTTTAGAGCCTGTAGTGTATTAATCATAGTGGTTTTAAAGCTCTGGTCTGATAATTCCAACATCCCCGCCATGTCCGGTTCTGATGTTTGCTTTGTCTATTCAAACTGTGCTTTTTGCCTTTTTGTACACTTTACAATTTTTTCTTGATAGCCAGACATGATAACAGGCAAAAGGGACTGTTGTAAAGGGACCTTTAGTAATGTGGTAATAAGGTATAGGAGGAACTGTTCTATAGACCTATGATTAGGATGTAGTCTCTTAGTGACCCTGTGCTGTGTCTCTGAACTGTGAACTATACAAGTGTTTCTCGGTGTTTTCTTTCCCCCTATAGGTGGGACAGGATAGCCAAAGTGGACTGAAATTGTGTATTTCTCTTCACCAAGTCAGTTAAGTTCTGAAAAAAACCCAGTAGGCTAGACTCTGGTTGACTAATTTCCCCTTAAGGTAGGCCTTCTTAAGAAGAGTGTGCTCTGGAAAATTTCAAAATGGTTCCCTTTCTCTGACATTTACTGTGGGAATATGGTCAAGCTCCTGGAAGTAAATATCACCATACTGTGGTGGTCTTATGACTGAGTCTTCCTGGAGTTTTTAACTCTCTGAATTGTTCACACTGAGCTTCTAGCTATTGTCAATGACAGTTCAATTTTCCTGCCTGGCACTGGTTCTCACATCAATTTCTTTTTTTTTTTTATTTTAATTCCAGTATAGTTAACATACAGTGTTACATTTGTTTCAGATGTACAATATAGTGATTCAACAATTCTCTACATTACTCAGTACTCATCGTGATAAGTGTACTCTTGATCCTTTTCACCTATTTCACCCATCCCCCCACCCACTTCCCCTCTGGTAACCACCAGTTTGTTCTCTAAATAGTTTGGTTTTGGTTTTTCTCTTTTTTCTTTATTTATTTGTTTTATTAAATTCCACGTATGAGTAAAATCATATGGTATTTTTCTTTCTTTGACTGACTTATTTACTTGGCATTTACTCTAAATCCAACCATGTTGTTGCAAATGGCATGATTCCATTCCTTTTTTATGGCTGAGTAATATTCCACAGTGTATATATACCACTTCTTCTTTATCCATTCATTTATCAATGGTCACTTGCATTGCTTCCATAATTTGGCTATTGTAAATAATGCTACAATAAGTATATGGATGCATATATATTTTTGAATTAGTGTTTTCATATTCTTTGGGTAAATACCCAGTAGTGTGATTACTGGATTGTAGGATAGTTCAATTTTTAATTTTCTGAGGCACCTCCATGTTGTTTTCCACAGCAGCTGCACCAGTTTGCATTCCCAACAATAGTGCATGAGAGTTCCTTTTTCTCCACATCCTTGCCAACACTTGTTTCCTCCCACACCCATTTCTACTCATGAGTCTCTGCTCTGGGAAGCTGCAACTCCCTGTATTTGTGTGACTGTCTCTTTAATCTTGGGGGCAGTTTTTTGCCCTGTGGCTTCTCTTCTCTTATCGACCCATGAAAAACTGTAAAATTTTTAGTCTGTTCAGCTTTTTTACTTATTGTTAAGATGGAGGGGAGAAAATCAAAACCTCAATAAGATACCACCTCACACCAGTCAGAATGGCTAAAATTAACAAGTCAGGAAACGACAGATGTTGGCGGGGATGTGGAGAAAGGGGAACCCTCCTACACTGTTGGTGGGAATGCAAGTTGGTGCAACCACTCTGGAAAACAGTATGGAGGTTCCTCAAACAGTTGAAAATAGAGCTACCATAGGATCCAGCAATTGCACTACTGGGTATTTACCACAAAGATACAAATGTAGGGATCCGAAGGGGTATGTGCACTCCGATGTTTATAGCAACAATGTCCACAATAGCCAAACTGTGGAAAGAGCCAAGATGTCCATTGACAGATGAATGGATAAAGAAGATGTGGTATATATACACAATGGAATATTATGCAGCCATCCAAAGGAATGAGATCTTGCCATTTGCAACGATGTGGATGGAACTGGAGGGTGTTATGCTGAGTGAAATAAGTCAATCAGAGAAAGACATGTATCATGTGACCTCACTGATATGAGGAATTCTTAATCTCAGGAAACAAGGTGAGGGTGGGTGGAGGGTGGGGGGGTGGGAGGAATGGGGTGGCTGGGTGATAGACATTGGGGAGGGTATGTGCTATGGCGAGTGCTGTGAATTATGCAAGACTGTTGAATCACAGATCTGTACCTCTGAAGCAAATAATGCAATATATGTTAAGAAAAAAAAAGGAAGATAGCAGGAGGGGAAAAATGAAGGGGGGGAAATCGGAGGGGGAGACCAACCATGAGAGACGATGGACTCTGAAAAACAAACTGAGGGTTCTAGAGGGGAGGCAGATGGGGGTATGGGTTAGCCTGGTGATGGGTATTAAAGAGGGCACGTTCTGCGTGGAGCACTGGGTGTTTTGCACAAACAATGAATCATGGAACACTACATCAAAAACTAATGATGTAATGTATGGTGATTAACATAACAATAAAAAAATTTTTTTAAAAGATGGAGTGGAGATTTCCAAGCTCCTTACATGTGGAACCAGAAACAAGAAGTCCTCATTTATTATTTTTTTAATCAAGACACTAGCTATAATCTCCATCCTAATCCTAAACAATATAAATTCATTAAATTTAATAGGAATATAATAGGAATATAATTGAATTAAATATGATAGGAATCAGGCTCTCTGAAAGCTAAGATATATATTAGGGAAATTGTTCTGTGAACAGAATTTCAACACTAACAAGCAACACATACATAATGGATTTCTATTTAGTCTGCTAGGTGTCCATTAGCTATTCTTATGTTAGCAATATGCAGTTTTCCTTTGGGGAGCTATTCCTCCTCCAATGGATAGAGCTTCTGTTCAACTCTCAGGCAAAGTTCTCTGTCCTCCCATGGCAGAGTGTTGGACTCATGATTCAAATTAAACCAATCAGGTGCTCTCTCCTTGGAATTTGAATTTAAAGCATAGAAACAAAAAAGTCTTAAAGTGATAACAGCTTATCTATCTCTCAAAGGCAAAAAGAGATTTTTCTTTTTTGATCTCTAAATCTCTGAAATAGCACTGTTTTTTGTTTTTTGTTTTGGGTTTTTGTTTTGTTTTAAGATTTTATTTATTTATTCATTTGAGAGAGAAAGAGCATGAGAGAGAGAGAGAGCATGAGCAGGGGGGAGGGGCAGAGGGAGGGAGAAGCAGACTCCCCACTGAGCAGAGAGCTGGATGTGGGGCTCGATCCCAGGACCCTAGGATCATGACCTGGGCAGAAGGCATATGCTTAACCAACTGAGCCACCCAGGCACCCTGAAGTAGCTCTGTTTTGAGTTCTGTGTGAAATCTGATTCTTTAGCTACTTTTCCTATATTTTTCTTTTAAATTTCCTTTTTGCTTTGGTTAACTAGAATGGGTTTTCTCTTGCTTATAAACACAGGATTCTAATAAATTAAATCAAATATACATCACTTCAAAATGCAAATAGCCACCGAATGTTGTATGGAAGTATTGAATCACCATATTGTACACCTGAAACTAATATTATACTGTATGTTAACTAACTGGAATTTAAATAAAACTTTTTAAAAATTTTTTTTAAATAAATTAAATGCAAATAGGTTTCAGCAATATAAAATAGATTTACCTGTGGAGTCTAGGGGTAATCGCATGTAAATTATATATAAAATTCCAATGGTTAAATCACTTCCAAATTTAAAATCAAACCAGAAATGATGGTATCACTTACACTTTTTTCTGTCCATCCATTCCTCTAGTTCTACAAAGTTTATAATTTGTCTTGTCCTCCAAAGACCAAGTCGATATTTAACACGATGGATCTGTCTACAATACATGTTTATAACTGCTCTCAAATTTGGTCCATGAGACAAAGCCTATAAAACAGAAATATAGACAGTAAAGCCCCATATTTACATATTTCTTCTATATATATTTAATCTGATTTTGCCCTTTCATTCCATCTATTTCACTCAGTTTCTTAAATTATGGATGTATTTATTAATGTTTATTGCATAGGTTGGCTAAACACATGCACTGTAGAATAAGGTAATCTCCTTGAAGTTCAGAGAGCCTCAGTATGAGAAGCTTTGTCATCAGATACCCATAATTTCCATAGCAGAGTTTTCAATGATGGATATTTTCATGGAAGCTTCCTAGGTTGGCATCTAGATTTCTATAATAGGTATGTAACCCACTTGGCCAGAAAAAAAAAAGTTTTATTAAGGCATTATTCTGTAATGGTGATTATTGCCTAAGCTATTCACTAGGGGTGCTCAAATCCTTATTTATTTTCTTTCTTTTGAAAATTGTCTTTTACTTATTTTTTACTGGACTTCACATGTTTTTTCAAGCTGATTTCTAAAACTCTGTTAAATTAATCCTTTTCAGCATATTTACAAACTTTATTTTATCAGTTTGCCTTTTAACTGACTATATTTATATATATATGTGTGTGTGTATATAGATATGTGTGTGTGTATATAGATTTTCTACATTCTATTACAATAGGCTTTAAAAATTAAAGTGTAAAAATTAATCTATTTCAAGTGTTTTTTCTTTTCTAAATAAACATTTCCATTTTATTTACCAATTCAATTATTTTTACATTTTACATTTACTAGCTCATTAATTTCTCTACTTATCATCATTAATTCCTTTTTAAAGGATTGTGTTCCTGTTCTTGACTTTTTAAAGACTTAATTCATCTATTTTCATTATTTTTTTAAGAATGTATTTAAGTCCATGAATTTTTCTCTGCGTCATCTTTCTTTTGATGTGCTTTGTGTACCATTTTACAAGTGAAAAAACTGAGGCAAAAAATCTTTAAATAACTTTCCCAGTTATTGGGTGGTTAGTTGCAGTAGCTAGTAAGTTAGCAAGTTGCAGAATTGGTTTTGAAACTAAAACAGGGACACTCCAGGGCACACACTTTTAATTATACATTATATTCCTCTTAATTTATTTAAATTTAGTGTTTTTCATTCATTCTATGAATTTTTTTATTATTATGTTATGTTAGTCACCATACATTACATCATTAGTTTTTGATGTAGTGTTCCATGATTCATTGTTTGCGTATAACACTCAGTGCTCCATGCAGTATGTGCCCTCTTTAATACCTATCACCAGGCTAATCCATCCCCCAACCCCTCCCCTCTAGAACCCTGTTTGTTTCTCAGAGTCCACAGTCTTTCATGGTTTGTCTCCCCCTGTGATTCCCCCCCCTTCATTCTTCCCTTCCTGCTATCTTCTTTTTTTTTTTTAACATATAATGTATTATTCGTTTCAGAGGTACAGGTCTGTGATTCAACAGTCTTGCACAATTCACAGTGCTCACCATAGCACATACCCTCCCCAATGTCTATCACCCAGCCACCCCATCCCTCCCACCCCCCACCACTCTAGCAACCCTCAGTTTGTTTCCTGAGATTAAGAATTCCTCATCTCAGTGAGGTCATATGATACATGTCTTTCTCTGATTGACTTATTTCGCTCAGTATAATACCCTCCAGTTCCATCCACATTGTTGCAAATGGCAAGATTTCATTCCTTTTGATGGCTGCATAATATCCCATTATATGAATATACCACTTCTTCTTTATCCATTCATCTGTCGATAGACATCTTCACTCTTTCCATAGTTTGGCTATTGTGGACATTGCTGCTATAAACATCGGGGTGCACATACCCCTTCAGATCCCTACATTTGTATCTTTGGGGTAAATACCCTGTAGTGCAATTGCTGGGTCGTATGGTAGCTCTATTTTCAACTTTTTGAAGAAACTCCATACTGTTTTCCAGAGTGGCTGCACCAGCTTACATTCCCACCAACAGCGTAAGAGCCCCTTTCTCCACATCCCCGCCAACATCTGTCGTTTCCTGACTTGTTAAGTTTAGCCATTCTGACTGGTATGAGGTGGTATCTCATTGAGGTTTTGACTTGGATTTCCCTGATGCTGAGCGATGCTGAGCACTTTTTCATGTGTCTGTTGGCCATTTGGATGTCTTCTTTGGAAAAATGTCTGTTCATGTCTTCTGTCCATTTCTTGATTGGATCATTGTTCTTTGGGTGTTGAGTTTAATAAGTTCTTTATAGATTTTGGATACTAGCCCTTTATCTGATATGTCATCTGCAAATACCTTCTCCCATTCTGTCGGTTGTCTTTTGGTTTTGTTGACTGTTTCTTTTGCTGTGCAAAAGCTTTTTATCTTGATGAAGTCCCAATAGTTCATTTTTGCCCTTGCTTCCCGTGCCTTTGGTGATGTTTCTAGGAAGAAGTTGCTGCGGCTGAGGTTGAAGAGGTTGCTGCCTGTGTTCTCCTTTAGGATGTTGATGGATTCCTGTCTCACATTTAGGTCTTTCAACCATTTTGAGTCTATTTTTGTGTGTGGTGTAAGGAAATGGTCCAGTTTCATTCTTCTGCATGTGGCTGTCCAATATTCCCAACACCATTTGTTTGTTTTGATTTCTTTCCTAATACATTTCCTTCAACATTTAATAACATTTCTCAATGTTTGTTTTTAATCTGCCTTCTAGTCAATAGGCTCTTGTCGCTTTTAGAAAAAATAATGAATTGGTCACACTGGTAACACTGGTAGATCATTCCCTAACATATGAATTTTAGTGGGAGGCAGAACAAACCTCCCACAATTTGAAGCCACACATCAGATACTAATGACCCAAGTTTCCTCTGTTGAAGCTGTGTTCATTATCTAAATCAGCACCAGACTTTTTAATTGAAACTAGTAATGCTTTGAAGACAAACAGTGGTAAATCTATTTGTGTGGTACAGTAACTGTGGTAGCAATATCCATTTTTCAAGGGCAGCACTCGTGGAGGCAGGAATACCCAGGATTCAGTATCTGCATTAGACTCTTTCTATGTAGGATGTGGTTGGAGGCCTGAGAGCTATCTAGCCTTCATCATACTTTCACATTTCAGAACTTAGTTCTCCAGACCTCTGCCCAATATTCTACTCAATATCTTTCTGCTTAAATCTCTTAGTAGGTTTCTTTTACTTATAATTAAGAATCGAGCAATGTTCTCACTGTGCCCTTAGAACAAGAGTCAAAAGGGCCCTGGTTGGAGTGCCTTTCTGAAATGGATGATGACATTTGCTAAGAGAACAGGGCATTAGGCAGCCATCAAACTCAGCTGCAGTGTCTTTCCCTTCAAATTTAATAAATCCTCTTTTGGGAACACAGCCTGTCTTGTGAGGGCCTCCTTCTCAGATCTGAGGCTTTCAGAAGGTTATCTAGGTTTTCATGTTTAAGAAGTTGAGCAGGAGAAAACTATAAGGGTCCATCTGCATGGTTCTTCCGACAGCGTGCCTCTCTGCTAGTCTTCTTCATGGAAATATGCCTCCATTATGGTGCTATGTACATCTACGTATGTAAATCTTTCATCATATTTCTAAACATTTCTGAGGACAGAATTAGAAAAATGTACAAACTGATGTTTACAAAAACAGTATTGGAATATAAAAGACTCACTGCAAATTAGTAATTATAATTTTCCAATCCATGTTGATTTAAAGGGTAAATGTATCATACTTAGTACACATCAATGTTTAAAAATGTTTCTAGTATGCATTTTTAGCCTGCCTTTTGTTTGATATGGTCATGTCTTGTTTCAAAAAAGTAATGAATGGATTCCTTGTTTGGAGAATTCCACTACCTTATGACACTTAGTGGGGCTTAATTTCTTTATTACAAGGTAGAGTGCTCTCTTTTCCTATTTATTTGCCATTTATGCTTCTTCTACAGTAAAGTACTAGTTCATGTCTTCTACCTATTTCTTCTCTTATTATTGTAGTGTGTTTCTTATCAGTTTATAATAGATCTTTACATGTTGAGTTTTTTTTTTTTAACACTGGGGCAATATCAAATGTTTTACTACAGTTTGACTTTTTAACTTTTTAAAAATGATGTTTAGACATATAAGCAGATAACTTGCCCACATATATTAATTGAGTCTAACCTTGTCTAAACACTTACATATGACATTATCCAAAAGGGTCTTCAAACTGATAAGAAAAGATACTACACTTGATCTTAGCCAAATGGCCAAGAAGCTATCCAAAAAGGGTCTTTATACAAAAAACCTTATTAAAGCAGGAAAAGGTTTTTAAACCTAAAACTGGGTTTCTAAAACCTAGTTTAGGCTTTTAAACCTAAACTAAAACCCAATGAAATAAGGATTGAATATTCTGAATTGTTATCTTACACACACATACATAAACATACTTAACAAGTACACAAGCCTCACTTCCCCACCCACTAAAGAATTAGTGAAGCCCTTAGACACACACATGTGGCTAAAGCAAATGTTTCTCTCCTGGGTTGGGTTCTTCTCTCTTCAGGCCTCTTTTCTGTGTCAGCTGCCACTCACTTTGATCTTGGTCAGAATGATTATAATATACCTGAAGCACATGCTTAATTTTTCTACCTCTAATTGCTTAGTATAAAGACTGTGAGTACACATTCTTGGTCAGCAGTATCACGGAATCTTGTCTTACTCCCATGCATCTCTGCAAATTTAAGTAGCATTCAAACTCACCTTCTAAATGCTCACTCTCAGCAAATGACCTTGCTCCCTACTTCACCAAGGGGAAAGCATTAGATTATTGTTATTTCAACTTCCTATCACCAAATCTAAACACTTAGCAACATCCTTTGGTCCTACAACAGAGAAATAGTTCTCTCTTACCTAAGGCTAATCAAGGTCATCCATGAACTAACTGTTGTAAAGACAGGATTAGCCTTAGGTGTCTTATAAACACACTCCCTCCAATATTCTTAACCTTCTAATATGGATTATTCTCATCTCTCTTATATCATCAACCTTCCCCTCTTATTCATTTTTGCAATAAAC